TTGAAGCACGTTTGGCAGCGATTACAGCTTTGAGTCTTTTTGGGTATGACGCTACAAGCTTGGCACACGTGTATTTGGGGAATTTCTCCCATTCTCCTTTACAGATCCTCTCAAGCTCTGTCAGATTGGATGGGGAGCGTCGCTGCACAGTTATTTTCAGGTCTCTCCAGAGATGTTTGATCGGGTTCAAGTCCGGCCTCTGGCTGGGCCACTCAAGGACATTCAGAGACTTGTCCAGAAGCCACTCCTGCGTTGTCTTGGCTGTGTGCTTAGGGTCGTTGTCCTGTTGGAAGGTGAACCTTTGCCCCTTTCTGAGGTCCTGAGCGCTCTGGAGCAGGTTTTCATCAAGGATATCTCTGTGCTTTACTCCGTTAATCTTTCCCTTGATCCTGACTAGTCTCCCAGTCCCTGCAGCTGAAAAACATCCCCACAGTATGATGCTGCCACCACCATTCTTCACCTTAGGGATGGTGCCAGGTTTCCTCCAGATGTGACACTTGGCATTCAGGCCAAAGAGTTCAATCTTGGTTTCATCAGACCAGAGAATCTTGTTTCTTATTGTCTGAGAGTCCTTTAGGTGCCTTTGGGCAAACTCCAAGCGAGCTGTCCAGTGCCTTTTACTGAGGAGTGGCTTCCGTCTGACCATTCTACCATAAAGGCCTGATTGGTGGAGTGCTAAAGAGATGGTTGTCTATCTGGAAGGTTCTCCCATCTCCACAGAGGAACTCTGGAGCACAGTCTGAGTGACCATCCGGTTCCTGGTCACCTCACTGACCAAGGCCCTTCTCCCCCGATTGCTCAGTTTGGCCGGGCGGCCAGCTCTAGGAAGAGTCTCGTGGTTCCAAACTTCTTCCATTTAAGAATGATGGAGGCCACTGTGTTCTTGGGGACCTTCAGTTCTGCAGAAATATTTTTGTACCCTTCCCAAGATCTGTGCCTCGACACAATCTTGTCTCAGAGCTCTATGGACAATTCCTTTGACCTCATGGCTTGGTTTTTGCTCTGACATTTACTTGTCAACTGTGGGACCTTATGTAGACAGGTGTGTGCCTTTCCAAATCATATCCAATCATTTGAATTTACCACAGGTGGACTCCAATCAAGTTGTAGAAACATTTCAAGGATGATCAATGGAAACAGGATGCACTTGAGCTCAATTTGAAGTCTCATAGCAAAGGGTCTGAATACTTATGTAAATAAGGTATTTCATTTTTTATTTGTAAGACATTTGCAAACATTTCTTAAAACCTGTTTTTGCTTTGTGTGTATATTCATGAGTAAAATGTTTTCTTTAATCAATTTTAGAATAAAGCTTTAACATAACAAAATGTGGAAAAAGGGAAGGGGTCTGAATACTTTCCGAATTAAATGTACATGTGACTGCATAACCTATTCCACATGAAATAGACCGATATTCATTTTTACACATGAAAATTTAAATCTGCCTTCTTGATATCTACCATTTTATATTAATTACAATCAACATTCAGTGTTTTTATGCTGTCTCTTTCCCATTCCCAGAGAATAAGACTGTCTGGTCTACTGCCAATAGCCCCTCACAGAGTGTACTGTACCAAGACATTCCTCTGGAAGTGGTAAACATGTAGATAGCTGTATTACTCTTCTGACTACTCTGCTAAGTCTCTGGAATGACAGAGTATTAACAGATAGATGGACTGCACAACAGTCAGGCAAGAGTGATCTACATTCAGTCAACGGGAGAGGAAGGAGCAATGTAGAAGGGGTACAGCAGATGGGGTGTAAGGGGAGAGAGGACATCGCCTTGGCCTGGGTTTTGTGGTGGAAAAGAGAAGACTGCTAGATATTGGACGCAATATTTTTCATTTAATATTTTATCTGACATAATGGCATTATTGATAACCCACTCTCTATAACATTTTATTTCCTCCTCCTTTTTAGTAGTCAATCATCCCCAAAGCAGATATTTGTGAAGGCTGTGAATACTGAGAATATATTATATTTTTCACACTCCCATTCCAGAACACGGAGATGGATGAAGTCGAATACTTTAAACGAAGGAGACATCCCCTATGATAGCACATTTTGTCTTTGAAAGCCTACCTAGGAATCCCACTGGGCTGCTGCCTGTCACATTCTCCTACAGCACAGAGAGGGGGTGAAGAGGGGTCTGATTGCTCTGTCTGTGTGTGTGTGTGTTTTTTGTTTATGGATGAATGTGAGTGAGTGAGGGGATGGAATACAGTGCATTCGGAAAGTATTCAGACCCTTTGACTTTTTCCACATTTTGTTACGTTACAGCCTTATTCCGAAATGGATTAAAATGTCCCCCCCTCATCAATCTACATACAATTCCCCATAATGACAAAGCAAAAACAGGTTTTTAGACATAAAAAACAGAACTATCACATTTACATAAGTATTCAGACCCTTTACTCAGTACTTTGTTGAAGCACGTTTGGCAGCGATTACAGCTTTGAGTCTTTTTGGGTATGACGCTACAAGCTTGGCACACGTGTATTTGGGGAATTTCTCCCATTCTCCTTTACAGATCCTCTCAAGCTCTGTCAGATTGGATGGGGAGCGTCGCTGCACAGCTATTTTCAGGTCTCTCCAGAGATGTTTGATCGGGTTCAAGTCCGGCCTCTGGCTGGGCCATTCAAGGACATTCAGAGACTTGTTCCGAAGCCACTCCTGCGTTGTCTTGGCTGTGTGCTTAGGGTCGTTGTCCTGTTGGAAGGTGAACCTTTGCCCCTTTCTGAGGTCCTGAGCGCTCTGGAGCAGGTTTTCATCAAGGATATCTCTGTGCTTTACTCCGTTAATCTTTCCCTTGATCCTGACTAGTCTCCCAGTCCTTGCAGCTGAAAAACATCCCCACAGTATGATGCTGCCACCACCATTCTTCACCTTAGGGATGGTGCCAGGTTTCCTCCAGATGTGACACTTGGCATTCAGGCCAAAGAGTTCAATCTTGGTTTCATCAGACCAGAGAATCTTGTTTCTTATTGTCTGAGAGTCCTTTAGGTGCCTTTGGGCAAACTCCAAGCGAGCTGTCCAGTGCCTTTTACTGAGGAGTGGCTTCCGTCTGACCATTCTACCATAAAGGCCTGATTGGTGGAGTGCTAAAGAGATGGTTGTCTATCTGGAAGGTTCTGCCATCTCCACAGAGGAACTCTGGAGCACAGTCTGAGTGACCATCCGGTTCCTGGTCACCTCCCTGACCAAGGCCCTTCTCCCCCGATTGCTCAGTTTGTCCGGGTGGCCAGCTCTAGGAAGAGTCTCGTGGTTCCAAACTTCTTCCATTTAAGAATGATGGAGGCCACTGTGTTCTTGGGGACCTTCAGTTCTGCAGAAATATTTTTGTACCCTTCCCAAGATCTGTGCCTCGACACAATCTTGTCTCAGAGCTCTATGGACAATTCCTTTGATCTCATGGCTTGGTTTTTGCTCTGACATTTACTTGTCAACTGTGGGACCTTATGTAGACAGGTGTGTGCCTTTCCAAATCATATCCAATCATTTGAATTTACCACAGGTGGACTCCAATCAAGTTGTAGAAACATTTCAAGGATGATCAATGGAAACAGGATGCACTTGAGCTCAATTTGGCTGGTCCTCACTACATGTTCGTCGTCAAACCCACTGGCTCCAGGCCATCTATAAATCACTGCTAGGCAAATCCCCGCCTTATCTTAGCTCATTGGTCACCTTAGCAGCACCCACCCGTAGTTGCGCTCCAGCAGGTATATCTCACTGGTCATTCCCAAAGCCAACACCTCCTTTGGCCGCCATTCCTTCCAGTTCTCTGCTGCCAATGACTGGAACGAATTGCAAAAATCTCTGAAGCTGGAGACTCTTATCTCCCTCAATAACTTTAAGCATCAGTTGTCAGAGCACCTTACCGATCACTGCACCTGTACACAGCCCATCTGAAATTAGCCCACCCAACTACCTCATCCCTATATTGTTATTTATTTTGCTCTTTTGCACCCCAGTATCTCTATTTGCACATAATCTCTTGCACATCTAGCATTCCAGTGTTAATACTATTGTAATTATTCTGCACTATAGCCTATTTATTGCCTTACCTCCATAACTTGCTACATTTGCACACACTGTATATATATTTTCTGTTGTATTTCTGACTTTATGTTTTTTTTTACCCCATATGTAACTCTGTGTTGTTTTTATTGCACTACTTTGCTTTATCTTGGCCAGGTCGCAGTTGTAAATGAGAACCTGTTCTCAACTGGCTTACCTGGTTAAATAAAGGTGAAAAAAAAAAAAAAAAAAAATTGAAGTCTCATAGCAAAGGGTCTGAATACTTATGTAAATAAGGTATTTCGTTTTTTATTTGTAAGACATTTGCAAACATTTCTTAAAACCTGTTTTTGCTTTGTGTGTATATTCATGAGTAAAATGTTTTCTTTAATCAATTTTAGAATAAAGCTTTAACATAACAAAATGTGGAAAAAGGGAAGGGGTCTGAATACTTTCCGAATTAAATGTACATGTGACTGCATAACCTATTCCACATGAAATAGACCGATATTCATTTTTACACATGAAAATTTAAATCTGCCTTCTTGATATCTACCATTTTATATTAATTACAATCAACATTTAATGTCGGACTGTCACAGCAGTGTGTCTTTCTGGCGGTAGTCCCTCTCTCTTCAACATGTCTGAGGATTGGGCATGGAGAAAGACCAGGGGGAACAATCAGAGGGACAAATACTGACAGGTGGAAAATGTGATGGAATGGAGTAGGGAGTGGTGTGCGTGCGTGCATGTGTGTACCTTGGTGGACAAATGTGTGTGGGCAGTGGCACAGGGAGAGAGACCTGCTGTAATTGGCTCTTGGAGGCTGAGAAAGTAAAACATGAGATTTGGGGCTGCAGGGTTTCCATGGCCCTGAGTCTGTAGGCATCTGGCTTGTAACGGCATAGTATTAAAAGGTGGAGATCTGCTGCATCCCTCAGGCTGAGCTATTTTTTACATTTCCTGTTGTGTATTCAGGTTCATTCCGTGCCCTCCTTTGTGTGGTGGGTCGGGTGGGTTTTACATTAACTCATTCCCCAGCAGCAGGGCTGAACTCTAACCCAGATGGAGTGGATCATTGCCATACCCGTCGACAGCCCACATCTTGACGAGACACCCTCCACCCTGTCCCATTAATCACACTGGCAATGTCGAGTGTAAATTTTTTTTTTTTTACAGTTATTTTACCAGGGAGGACATAGAGACCTAGGTCTCTTTTTCAAATGTGCCCTGCACAATACAACACAAATATACACATTAAAATACAAAAACACAGTCATGGGAAGCGCAAGTCAAAAATCACAAATCACCCTGAAAAACTGTTACATTCCTCCACAAATAATTCCCCAATCAATACTCTAAACTGCACGAACGCCACCAGAACATTAAGATTAAATGTATTTAGAATGTTGTTATTGTAACAATGATGCTGGGAGCCAGGAAGCATGTGCAGTTGGTGAGTTTAATAAAGAACATAGAGTGATGCAAAACAAGAGAAGCGTCTGGACATGAACACAGAATCAATACTGCCTGAAGAGTGATGCTAGGGAGTGCTAGATAAAGGGAAAGTAATCAGGGTAGTGATGAAGTCCAGGTATGCCTCATGATGGGGCGCAGGTGTGCGTAATGAGGGTTGCCAGGTGTGCGTAATGATGGTTTGCCAGGACTGGTGGTTAGTAAACTGGCAACGTCGAGCACCAGAGCGAGTGAGCGGGAGTAGACGTGACAGTTCCCCCCCGCCCCCCCGGATGCGCGGCTCCAGCCGCAGGACTGCGCCGGCCAGGGTGACGGCCCCGAGGGCGAGGTGCGGTCTGGTCCGGACGCCGAAGGTGGAAATCTCGGATGATGTTGGGATCTAGAATGTTGTCCACCGGAACCCAACAGGTACTGGAGCCGACCCTCACAACATCGGGAGTCCTGGAGGGATCTGAGGATCTGACGGCATAGGCGGGGCTTTCTTCGATGTCCAGGGGAGGCGGACGGGTGTCGTGGGGCCTGAGGAGGGAAACATGAAAGAGGGTGAGATTCTGTAATTAGTGGGGAGCTGTAATTTATATGTTATCTCGTTGACCCTCCAGAGGAGGGCCCCACAGACCCGGAGCTCAGCTTCTTACAGGACAGGCAGAGTGGGAGGTTCCTAGTGGAGAGCCAGACGCGATCACCAGGATGGAACATGGGAGCCTCATTGCGGTGGCGATCCGCCTGCTCCTTCTGGTGGCGGACGGCACGTTGGAACCTCACGTGGGCATTGATCCAAACCTCTTCTGCATGCCTGAACCACTCGTCCACCGCAGGGGCTTCGGTCTGACTTGGGGTCCACAGAGCCAGGGCAGGCTGATAACACACTGGAAGGGAGTCAGCCCTGTGGAGGAGGGACGCAATGAATTCTGAGTGTACTCCGCCCAGGGAAGGAATCGGGCTCGCTCCCCCTGCCGGTCCTGTCAGTGACTCCTCAGGAACCTCCCCAGCTCCTGGTTCATCCTCTCCACCTGCCCGTTAGACTGAGGCCGGTACCCGGAAGTGAGGCTGACCGTGACCCCCAGCTTCTCCATGAAGGCTTTCCATACCTGTGATGTGAATTGGGGGCCACGGTCAGAGACGATGTCCTCCAGAAGACCATAGTGCCGGAAGACCTGCTGGAACAGTGCCTCAGCAACCTGGAGACCGGTAGGGAGACCAGAGAGGGATAAAATGGCAAGATTTAGAGAATCTGTCCACAACCACCAAAATGGTGGTGAAACCATCAGAGGAGGGGAGATCAGTGACAAAATCAATGGACAGATGAGACCAAGGACGCTGAGGCACGGGAAGGAGTTTCCCTGCTGGAGCGTTCCGGGGAGATTTAGTTTGGGCATATACGGAACAGGAGTTGACGTAGCGAGTGACGTCCTTCGCCAAGGTAGGCCACCAGTACTTTTCGGAGATAGATTGAATAGTGCGGGAGATACATGGATGTCCAGCAATGACAGCTGTGTGCGCCCAGGTCAGCAGCTGATCCCTTATCACTGTGGGAACGTAGATGCGCTCAGGAGGACAGGTGGTGGGTGCGGGATCCCTCTCCAGGGCCTGGCGAATGTCCACATCTATGTCCCAGACCACAGGGGCAACAACTCGAGAGGGTGGAATTATGGGTGCACTCAAGGCAGGAACCTCTTCCGAATCGTAGAGATGGGACAGGGCATCGGCTTTGGTGTTCTTTGAACCTGGGCGATATGTCAGAGTGAAGTCAAATCTAGTGAAATCAAACGGCCCACCTTGCTTGGCGCGGTTTCAGCCACCTCGCTGTCTGTATTTTCTCCAGGTTCCGATGGTCGGTGAGGATGAGAAATGGGTCCTTGGCGCCCTCCAGCCAGTGTCTAAACTCCTCTCTAAAGCCAACTTCACCGCCAGGAGCTCCCGATCGCTGACATCATAGTTCCTCTCTGCAGGAGAGGTTCTTTTGAGTAATATGCACAAGGATACAATTTCTGTGGATTACCTTGTCGTTGGGACAGGACAGCCGCCACACCCACTTCTGAAGCATCCACCTCCACCACGAAGGGCAGCGTAGGATCTGGGTGTTTGAGCAATGGGGCGGAGGTGAAACGTCCCTTCAGTAGGCGGACGGCTTCGTCAGCTGCAGGACTCCACCCTAACTTACGGGGACCACCCTTGATGAGAGAGGTGAGAGGAGAGGTGATAGAGCTAAAGTTCTTGATGAAATGGCGGTAGAAGTTGGCAAACACCAAAAATCGTTGTAACCCCTTTATGGTGGTTGGGACTGGCCATGACCTGACAGCATCTACCTTCTTACCGTCCATCATCACTCCTTGCAGGCCGATCTGGTAACCCAGAAAGGAGACAGCCTCCTGATGGAATTGGCACTTCTCCGCTTCTACATGTAGGTGGTTAGCCAGGAGGCGTTCCAGGACTACTCGGACGTGAGCGATGTGATCATCCAAGTTAGCCGAGTATACCAGGATGTCGTCGATATACACAACCACCTGGCTTCCGAGCATCACCAAGTACTCGTAGTGACCAGACACTGTGCTGAAAGCTGTCTTCCATTTATCCGCCTCCCAGATGCGGATATGATTGTAAGCACTCCGCAGGTCCAATTTGATAAAGAACCGGGCCCCGCGGAGCTGTTCGATCTCTGCTGGCACCATCGGGAGAGGGTAACAGTATTTAGTGGTGATGGCATTCAGACCTCTGTAATCAATGCACGGGCATAACCCTCCATCCTTCTTTGCCACGAAGAAGAAGCCCGCCGACGCAGGAGAGGTGGACGTGCGGATGAAACCTTGTTGGAGCGCTTCAAGGATGTACTCCTCCATAGCCTTAGTTTCAGCCACCGACAGAGGGTAGATGCGGCTGCGCGAGGGCGCAGAGCCTGCAAGCAGGTAAATGGCACAGTCCCAGGGGTGATGAGGAGGGAGACAGGTGGCGCTGGTCTTGGAAAAAACCTCCCGAGGTCTTGGTATACCTCCGGGATGTTGGGCTGAAGGGCAACCACAGGACTCTCAACCGACGTGGAACCACAGGGGAAGGGAAAGCAGGTCCTCCGGCATTTGGGTGCCCAGTCTGTGATTGTTATGGCTTTGGAGCTATGGGAGGCCGAGGATGATCTTGTGTATGGGTGCACTGATGATAAGGAAGGGAAGGCTTTCTTGATGTATGGACTCCACGGTGAGGGTGAGTGGTGTTGTGATGTGTGTGATAATCCCAGATCCCTGTGGTCGATTATCCAGCGCTTAAACCGGAAACGGAGAGTGGCTATGAGGTTATGTTCAGGGAGGAGGCAAGGACCTGGTCAATCAAATTCCCTGCGGCACCGGAATCCACTAGAGCTGTAGAAACAATGCATGAGGCACAGCCAGCTAGTGAAATCGATACTAAAAAGGGTTTGGTGGAAAGTGATTATGATGGAATACTCAAGCCTAACCCAGGAGACGGATGATCACAGGGCCGTCCCTCTGCTCTCGTGGACCCCGGGATGGAATGTACCGGACACCATTGAAGCTGGTGCCCTTCTTGACCGCAATAGGGACAGAGCCCCAGCTATCTCCGATGGCGTTGCTCAGCTGCGGGGAGGCGTGTGGCCCCTACCTCCATGGGTTCAGGCTCTGACTCAGAACGGTCAACGAAGGAGGGAGAGAGGCGATGGGGGTGCCGACGCTCCCGAAGCAGGTTATCCAGACGGATGGCCATCGCGATGAGTGCGTCCAAGGAGAGGGTGTCGTCTTGGCATGCCAACTCCGTCTGGACCTTTTCACGCAGTCCTCTTCTGAATAGGTTGCGGAGTGCCGGCTCATTCCATCCACTGGATGCTGCCACTGCCCGGAAGGTGAGGGTGTACTCCGCAGTGGTCTGGCCATCCTGCCATAGTTGGAGTAGGCGCTCACCCCCCTCTCTGCCCTCTGGTGGATGATTTAAGACTCCTCTGAACAGAGCCATGAAGCCCTCATAGGAACCCAGCCCTCCTCTCCTCTCTCCCAGACGGCCATAGCCCACTCCAATGCCAATCCGGTCAGCAGGGAAATAACTGTGGCAACCTTGGACCTCTCGGTGGTGGGGGCTCCCATCTGATGAGCGAAATAGAGGGAGCACTGGAGTAGGAAGCCACGGCATTTGGATGGAGTCCCGTCATATTTGTCCGGGAGGGACAAACGGGCATTGCTGACCTGGGCGGACTGCTGGATGGGCTGGGGTGCTGGCTCGCTGGGTCGACTCGTGGGAGAGAATCCTCCGCTGGTTGGAGGTGACGCCCCTCGGGTAATGTCGAGACATTGAAGAACGCAGAGGACCTCATCCATAGCCGTCCCCAGTTGCGCCAGCTGGTTGTGGTGTTGACGAAGTGGATGTCCCTGTTCGCCGACCATCTGGGAGGTGTCTTGATTCCCTGCTGCTTCCATTTGTTGAGGCAGTTTTCTGTAACAATGACGCTGGGAGTCAGGAAACAGGGGCAGTTGGTGAGTTTAATAAAGAACATAGAGCGATACAAAACAAGAGCAGCATCTGGACATAAACAGAACCAATACTGCCTGAAGAGTGACGCTAGGGAGTGCTAGATAAAGAGGAAGAAATCAGGGTAGTGATGAAGTCCAGGTGTGTAAATGTAATGTAAATCTCCCTTCCCTCCACCATCACCACCAGTACCAGTACCAGTACCACCACTGTCCTCTCATCCCATAAACACTGTCTTTGCATGCTGGATACTGCATACTGGAACTACACCTTGTGGAGATGACCTCAAACACATTGCATTTTTGTTGTATTTTTTACTTAGCTCAAAAGCATTTAAGTGCATTCGGAAAGTATTCAGACCCCTTCTCTTTTTCCACATTTTGTTACGTTACAGCCTTATTAAATACCTTTTTCCCTCATCAATCCACACACAATACCGCATAATGACAAAGCGAAAACAGGTTTTAATAAATTTTTGCAAATGTATAAAAAAAAAACGGAAATACCTTATTTACATAAGTATTCAGACCCTTTGCTATGAGACTCGGAATTGAGCTCAGGTGCATCCTGTTTCCATTGATCATCCTTGAGATGTTTCTACAACTTGATTGGAGTCTACCTGTGGTAAATTCAATTGATTGGACATGATTTGGAAAGGCATACACCTGTCTATATAAGGTCCCACAGTTGACAGTGCATGTCAGAGCAAAAACCAAGCCATGAGGTCGAAGGAATTGTCCGTAGAGTTTTGAGACAGGATTGTGTCGAGGCACAGATCTGGGGAAGGGTTCCAAAAAATGTCTGCAGCTTTGAAGGTCCCCAAGAACACAGTGCCCTCCGCCATTCTTAAATGGAAGAAGTTTGGAACCACCAAGACTCTTCCTACAGCTGGCCTCCTGGCCAAACTGAGCAATCGGGGGAGAAGGGCCTTGGTCAGGGAGGTGACCAAGAACTCACTTTGACAGAGTTCCAGAGTTCCTCCTCGGAGATGGGAGAAACTTCCGGAAGGACAACCATCTCTTTAGCACTCCACCAATCAGGCCTTTATGGTAGAGTGGCCAGACGGAAGCCACTCCTCGGTAAAAGGCTCATGATAGCCCGCTCTGAGTTTGCCAAAAGGCACCTAAAGGACTCTCAGACCATGAGAAACAAGATTCTCTGGTCTGATGAAACCAAGATTGAACTCTTTGGCCTGAATGCCAAGTGTCACGTCTGGAGGAAACCTGGCATCATCCCTACGGTGAAGCATGGTGGTGGCAGCATCATGCTGTGGGGATGTTTTTCAGCTGCAGGGACTGGGAGACTAATCAGGATCGAGGGAAAGATGAGCTCCAGAGCGCTCAGGACCTCAGACTGGGGCGATGGTTCACCTTCCAACAGGACTACGACCCTAAGAACACAGCAAAGACAACGCAGGAGTGGCTTCAGGAGAAGTCTCTGAATGTCCTTGAGGAGCCAGAGCCCCGACTTAAACCCGATTGAACATCTCTGGAGAGACCTGAAAATAGCTGTGCAGCGACACTCCCCATCCAACCTGACAGATCTTGAGAGGATCTGCAGAGAAGAATGGGAGAAACTCCCCAAATACAGGTGTGCCAAGGTTGTAGCGTCATACCCAAGAAGACTCGAGGCTGTAATTGCTGCCAAACGTGCTTCAAACGTGCTTCAACAAAGGGTCTGAATACAAATGCAAATGTTATATTTCAGTTTTTTATTGTAATACATTTGCAAAAAAATCTAACCTGTTTTTTCTTTGCCGTTATGGGGTGTTTTGTGTAGATTGATGAGGGGAAAAAACTATTTCATCAATTTTAGAATAAGGCTGTAACGTAACAAAATGTGGAAAAAGTTAAGTAGTCTGAATACTGTAAACATTGTGAGTAATTCAAATTGAATTTTGACTCACATCAACCTTTGGAACATTGAGCACTCATGGGGGCTACAAACATATGTTAGGATATACACAATGATTTTAAGTTATGGTAGAAATTACTGCAGGTGTGTGTTTATCAATCATTCCCTCCCACACTCTGTTTCCCACTCAAGTTCCATCACACATCGATTCTAGACACTTTTATTCCCATGGGCTTAATAATGCTTGTCTTTACCTCTCCCCCCTCTCTCCTTGTCATCTCTCTTCAGAAATCAAGCCTACCGTTTGGGATGTTGGATGCTGGCTCTGGCAGACAATAACCTTCCATGAGTTTTAAAGAGAGGACAGGAGACCCCCTCCATCAGCAACACCAGGACCAGGAGAAGAACACATTCAGCTAAGACCTTGAAAGTAGGATACAAACCTTTATAGGCTATCTACTGTCACATAATGTTAGTGGAGAGTGAGGTATGTTGAGCCAAAGGGGTATGTTGAGCCAAAGGGGTATGTTGAGCCAAAAAGGTAAGTTGAGTCAATGGGGTAAGTTGAGCCACCCTTTTTTCTAGGAAACCATGCACATAATTAATAATTTGACCAAATATTTAGGAAGAGGTCATCATTTCATGGAGTCTGAAGGAAGAAATCACATGAAAAAAGTGGTAAGCAAGTTAGGTCACCAACTCAAATTAATTTATTGTGTTAGAGGTTTCATGATACTTGTATCTAAAACAAAGTAGATAATTTTAAGATTGTTCTATACGTCAGTTGGGGTCTCTATAAGGTCCTAAACCTAGCATGAAAGTGCATCCTTGTAGCTGTGTGGGCTAATATAGTCAAAATGTTTGCCTTGGGGTAAGTTGAGCCAATGGTTGAGCCAATGGCAAGTTGAGCAAATTGAAGTGTTTTCTTCCAAGGTGTAATGCATGGCATAGGGCCTGGCCTACATTAAAGGTGTAAAAAAAAATTACAAAGTGTTTGTTAGGTGTTAAGCCTGTGTTAAAATATGTTTAAAATGATTTAAGGACAAAAAACTGATTGTGATTGTGTTTAATTGTTTTTGGGAAATAAAGATGGACATGGTTTTATAAAGGTAGTGGTCATATTCTATTCAATACAGATTTGTAGGCAGATTAACATACCCTGTCCCACGGCTCAATTTACCCCATACCTGGGGTAAATTGTGCCAAGAAACCACTTTTTTTGGACAAGCTATGTTCTCAAAACTGTAATGTTTACATGAATTCAGATTATTTCTAGGGATGCACAACATTCTGAAATATATGTAGAAATCTTTGTTAGAAAGGATACTATATTTCCCTTGATGGAGTGATGCTGAATGTAAAACATGGCTCAACTTACCCCACTCTACCCTATTGAATATGTATTTTAACTAAATGTATTTTTAATTGCTGAATGTTATAGGTTGTATGATGACACATGGCTCAAGTAGAGTGTAACCTACCATTTTTGACAGCCAGTGCTAGAAATATGTGATTACTTAAAATTCACTGAAGTGTTTAGTGGCCTCTGTTTAATGAGGCCCCAGTGTGAATAGAACAACCATTATGCAATGAGGAATAACACTGTAAATTCATTGAATGTACCAAGTGTAATTCACTGTAACTGGGCTGGGATTTCATTTCAACATCCAGAGGGATTGTTAATTTGTATAAACTCTGGAAAGAAAAGAAAACAGAATGAATTATGGTTCCAGCAAGTGAGATGGAAGCATTTTGTCAGTCATGTGTCTGGAATTCTTCAGCACACAGGTCCAGAAATAATATTAACTTTCTCTATCTAAAAGACTGCCACACTGCTTGTCCACCTGTATCAATAGTACTGTTAATGTCACAAGAAAACCTTTCATCGCCAAATCATGACATATTCTTGGATCAACCTTTCATTTCCCTGTAGAAAAGAGGTTTAACGTTTTCTAAAATGTGAATGTTGATTTTAGCCTATAGTCAAAGGACTTTGATAATCCCTGAATGCAGAAGGTGAAGGTACAGACAGACCATTTTGCTTTCACAATGGAAGCTTTTGTACCCACTGTATGATCCTTATCCCTAAAGCAGGGAAACATTACCTGACAAGAACACACTCTCTGCTATGAGCTTCCTGACAGGTTGCGATAAGTAATTGGGGTGAAATCAGACTTGCTAGTGGAGGAAGCAGAATTAATCTTACATGTCTCACATGTTAGATCACCCCTAACTGAACCCTAATCCTGGAATAATACTTAGCACCTGGTCAGGAAACAGCTGTGAGATGTACATAACAAAGTCCACAAAACACTATACCATTAAAGGGGGAAATCAATCACAGATGAATTGACCATTGCCGTGTCCAAAATGTTCCTCTGTTCTAACAACTGTTAAAAAATAAATATAATTATCTCTGGTTTGACAGGAGAACACTACTGTCTACAGGACAGTGACCAATGTGGTGCTACAGTACCTGTTGTGCATACAGCAACATTTGGAGCAGCCATGATGGATAAACCCCCTACTGCTCCACCACACACCTCCCATCCCACAATAGATGTGCCTTGATGTCCCCAGTCCCTCCCCTCTGACATCTACATCCCCCTCTCCACAGCCCTGTTCCATTCTGTCTACATAATGTCTCTCACAGACTACAAAAATGATGCCATTCCTCAAATGGACTACAAATATGGCCAACTCTGCCCCATGGAAGTTGAGAACTACAGGAAGAGACCCACAATGCCTTGTTTGGACAATGTAGATGACGGTCACATAAGCCTTCCCAGTGTCCTGGAGGTGAGGCGGGTTCCTCTGTGGCCATTGGGCCCCCTGAGGAGTGTCACAAAGGTCAAGGTTATCAGCTTCCTGCTTGGACTGACGTTGACCTTCCTCATTATGGCTTCTTACGTCTTGGCCTGGGATAAAAAGGGTCTGATGCTGACACCGTCACCTTTTCACCTCAGTACTATAGTCAATCCCAGCAGCACCATCTCCCCTAACATGTCCTCTACCAAGGACTATGTCAACATTAAGCTCCTGGTGAAGTGCATTACATCTAAACTTGAGTTCAGCCCAAGGAAGCTGCCTCTTCTGAAGGACGTTGTCAATAGTGACTCTCATGTGAGTATGAGCAAAGTGTCTGGCCTGTTGTTTCATGTGTGCTGTTTTGTCTCAGGGCGAAAATCCTTTCAATCATTTATAATATCAAATAAGATAATACATCATTACAATTTTCTAGAACTGTTTGAAAAGTATTTGACATTGTATCTGTTTTGCACTTCCCAGTTGTTTTCCGTTATTCCTCGTCAGTTCCTCCCCAATATCAAGAGTCCATGCTGGTATGAGGAGCTCTCTGGGAAAACCAAAGTGGATCCTTACAGGAAAAACTTGTATACAGTTCGCTCCAAGAGCTTCCGGACTGTCTGTGACTACCTAAGGAATCATTTCCAGGAACACTTGTACCACAGCGACGACGACAAGCAATACCGCCTGCGCTGTCTGCCATATTTCTACATCATTGGCCAGCCCAAATGTGGCACAACGGACCTGTTTCACCGACTACTTCTACACCCGGAGGTCAAGTTCAGCACCATGAAAGAGCCCCACTGGTGGACAAGGAAAAGGTTTGGTAAGCACTAGTCCCCTTGTCTTCACTTTGGTAGAGCTGCCCACAGAATTTGGCTTCCATTGATTTGGATGGAAAACTTTTACATTGGCTTCAACAGCCTTTTCACCCTGCCAAAATACATTTCCAGGGGGAACCACCAGTAATGTGTGGAATATTTCCATTGATATTCATATTACATCTATTTTGAGGTAATACAGTGGGCCTCTTTTCCCAATGATTGTGCCTAAATCTACAGTATGTACACTAGTAAAAATATAACTGAATGAAAACCCAAAGAGTTGCCTCTGTTATGATCATCTCCGCTTATATTTTCCCCTACAGTTATTTTTTCAAAACCTTTGTACAGAGTGAGTAAGTGTTGTTCTGGACTTCTACAGTAGTGTGTGGGAGATGGATGAGAAGAGGTCCAGCCCCTCCAGACTAGTGTCTGTTGTAATTCCTTTAATTGAATGGAATGCTTCAGGGTAGAGTCTGAGAGGCTGCGTAGGTGTCGGATCACACTCTGAGGAGAGCCATACTGTAGATCACACAGAGTGCATTGATTGCAGGCTCCATCGCCAAGTGGGTTTGTGGGCGTTCAAAGCAGCGGGGGAAATGGTTGGGGATGTTAGTCTTTCTGCTAACAATGGATCAGAAAGGCAGCTACATCGGGTCGCCTGTGGCGACGTAGTCTGAGGTCTTAATCTTCTCTGAGCTCTGACAGGTGTGAAAATATGGACAGAACTTAATGTCAAAATTGTATCACCTTAAGCTGACAGAAGTTTTGGTAAAAACTATGATTTGCTTTTGAGAGGGGCTATAGTTATGATATACCATAGATGGACGGGGCCTCCTGTAGCTCAGTTGGTAGAGCATGGCGCTTGCAACGCCAGGATTGTGGGTTCGATTCCCACGGGGGGCCAGTATGAAAAATGTATGCACTCACTAACTGTAAGTCGCTCTGGATAAGAGCGTCTGCTAATTGACAAAAAAAAGAAAAAAAAAGAAGTGGATGGTAGTGAAATAAGATTGAATGATGAAGTCATTGACCATGATGTTGCTCTACCTTGTGGTGCAGGTATCATCCATCTTAAAGATGGCCTCCTGGAGCGCTTCCTTGTGGAGGACTACCTGGACCTTTTTGACCTGGCTGCCTACCACATCCAGCAGGGAATACTCGGGAATACCTCTGGCGACGACAGCCAGCGACACCTCATCACAGGTAACCTACAGGTCATCATATATGTAGGTAATTTATATATACAGGATACATCTTGAATAATAATGTAGATAATTTGAAAGTCTTTATAAACTCTTGGGTTGCAATCTTTTCAACAAAGTTAGTCATAGAGGCTGCCGTCTTACTCTCTCTCTGTGTGTGTGTGTGTGTGTGTGTGTGTGTGTGTGTGTGTGTCTGTGTTTGTGTATTTATGTATATGTGTGGAGGAGGTGTTGTGTGATTACAAACCTCATTCAGTATTCATTGCCAATTCAGAACTTTTGAACAGATAAGAGCAGGAATGTGACCCTGATTAATACCAGAATACTTATTTTCTCCTCTCCTATGGACATTTAAGGTTTTGACATATTTAATTTGCTAAAGCCAACATAAGATTCAGTGTTATGTAGGAGTTATGAGAGGCTACTACTGATGTGTTATATTCACTTTTAAGTGTTATGACATTATACAACGGGTGGGTCTAATCCTGGATGCTGATTGGTTAAAAACGTGTTCCAGCCGGTGTCTATTCACTGTTGCATCTCACTGCGCAATCTACTGTCTCATCAGCCAAGCCAGACAATATATAAAGTTGATCTCCACTGTAAAAAAGTTGATCTCCACTTTTTGTTGACTTCTGTAATCGCAAAAGTCTTGGTTTCTTGCACATAAATATCAGAAGTCTACTTCCTAAGTTTGAGTTATTCACTGCGTTAGCACACTCTGCCAACCCTGATGTTCTAGCAGTGTCTGAATCCTGGCTCAGGAAGGCCACCAAAAATTCTGAAATTTCCGTCCCCAACTATAACATTTTCCGTCTAGATAGAACTGCCAAAGGGGGTGGAGTTGCAATCTACTGTAGAGATAGACTGCAGAGCTCTATCATACTATCCAGGTCTGTGCCCAAACAGTTTGAGCTTCTACTTCTAAAAATCCACCTTTCCAGAAATAAGTCTCTCACTGTTGCCGCTTGCTACAGACCCCCCTCAGCCCCCAGCTGTGCCCTGGACACCATATGTGAATTGATTGCCCCCCATTTATCCTCAGAGTTTGTACTGCTTGGTGACCTAAATTGGGATATGCTTAATACCCCAGCCATCCTACAATCCAAGCTAGATGCCCTCAACCTCACGCAAATTATCAACGAACCTACCAGGTACAACCCTAAATCCGTAAACATGGGTACCCTCATAGATATCATCCTGACTAACATACCCTCTAAATACACCTCAGCTGTCTTCAACCAGGATCTCAGCGATCACTGCCTTATTGCCTGCGTCCGTAACGGGTCCGCGGTCAAACGACCACCCCTCATCACTGTCAAACGCTCCCTAAAACACTTTAGCGAGGAGGCCTTCCTAATTGACCTGGCCCAGGTATCCTGGATGGATATAGATCTCATTCCGTCAGTAGAGGATGCCTGGTTGTTCCTTAAAAGTAATTTCCTCTCAATCTTAAATAAACATGCCCCATTCAAAAAATACAGAACTAAGAACCGATATAGCCCCTGGTTCTCCTCAGACTTGACTGCCCTTGACCAGCACAAAAACATCCTGTGGCGTACAGCATTAGCATCAAATAGCCCCCGCGATATGCAACTTTTCAGGGAAGTTAGGAACCAATATACACAAGCAGTCAGGAAAGCAAAGGCTAACTTTTTCAAACAGAAATTTGCATCCTGTAGCACTAACTCCAAAAAGTTTTGGGACACTGTAAAGTCCATGGAGAATAAGAGCACTTCCTCCCAGCTGCCCACTGCACTGAGGCTAGGAAACACTATCACCACCGATAAATCTACAATAATCGAGAATTTCAACAAGCATTTTGCTACAGCTGGCCATGCTTTCCATCTGGCTACCACTAACCCGGCCACCAACTCTGCACCCTCTGCTGCAACTTGCCCATGCCCCCCCCCGCTTCTCCTTCACACAAATTCAGACAGCTGATGTTTTGAAAGCGCTGCAAAATCTGGACCCCTACAAATCAGCTGGGCTAGACAATCTGGACCCTTTCTTTCTAAAACTAGCCGCCGAAATTGTCGCAACCCCTATTACTAGTCTGTTCAACCTCTCTTTCATAACGTCTGAGATCCCCAGAGATTGGAAAGCTGCCGCGGTCATCCCCCTCTTCAAAGGGGGTGACACTCTAGATCCAAACTGCTACAGACCTATATCCATCCTGCCCTGCCTTTCGAAAGTATTCGAAAGCCAAGTTAACAAACAGATCATCGACCATTTCGAATACCACCGTACCTTCTCCGCTATGCAATCCGGTTTCCGAGCTGGTCACGGGTGCACTTCAGCCACGCTCAAGGTCCTAAACGATATTATAACCGCGATTGATAATAGACAGTACTGTGCAGCCGTCTTCATCGACCTGGCCAAGGCTTTCGACTCTGTACACCACCGCATTCTTATTGGCAGACTAAATAGCCTTGGTTTCTCAAATGACTGCCTCGCCTGGTTCACCAACTACTTCTCAGATAGAGTTCAGTGTGTCAAATCGGAGGGCCTGTTGTCTGGACCTATGGCAGTCTCTATGGGGGTGCCACAGGGTTCAATTCTTGGGCCGACACTTTTCTCTGTGTATATCAATGATGTCGCTCTTGCTGCTGGTGACTCTCAGATCCACCACTACGCAGACGACACCATTTTGTATACATCTGGCCCTTCATTGGACACTGTGTTAACAAACCTCCAAACGAGCTTCAATGCCATACAACAATCCTTCAGTAGCCTTCAACTGCTCTTAAACACTAGTAAAACTAAATGCATGCTTTCAATCGAACGCTGCTAGCACCCGCCCACCCGACTAGAATCACCACTCTCGACGGGTCTGACCTAGAGTATGTGGACAACTACAAATATCTAGGTGTCTGGTTAGACTGTAAACTCAACTTCCAGACTCACATAAAGAATCTCCAATCCAAAGTTAAATCTAGAATCGGCTTCCTATTTCGCAACAAAGCCTCCTTCACTCATGCTGCCAAACATGCCCTCGTAAAACTGACTATCCTACCGATCCTTGACTTCGGCGATGTCATTTACAAAATAGCCTCCAACACTCTACTCAGCAAATTGGATGTAGTCTATCACAGTGCCATCCGTTTTGTCTCCAAAGCCCCATACACTACCCACCACTGTGACCTGTACGCTCTTGTTGGCTGGTCCTCACTACATGTTCGTCGTCAAACCCACTGGCTCCAGGCCATCTATAAATCACTGCTAGGCAAATCCCCGCCTTATCTTAGCTCATTGGTCACCATAGCAGCACCCACCCGTAGTCTGCGCTCCAGCAGGTATATCTCACTGGTCATTCCCAAAGCCAACACCTCCTTTGGCCACCATTCCTTCCAGTTCTCTGCTGCCAATGACTGGAACGAATTGCAAAAATCTCTGAAGCTGGAGACTCTTATCTCCCTCAATAACTTTAAGCATCAGTTGTCAGAGCACCTTACCGATCACTGCACCTGTACACAGCCCATCTGAAATTAGCCCACCCAACTACCTCATCCCTATATTGTTATTTATTTTGCTCTTTTGCACCCCAGTATCTCTATTTGCACATAATCTCTTGCACATCTAGCATTCCAGTGTTAATACTATTGTAATTATTCTGCACTATAGCCTATTTATTGCCTTACCTCCATAACTTGCTACATTTGCACACACTGTATATATATTTTCTGTTGTATTTCTGACTTTATGTTTTTTTACCCCATATGTAACTCTGTGTTGTTTTTATTGCACTACTTTGCTTTATCTTGGCCAGGTCGCAGTTGTAAATGAGAACCTGTTCTCAACTGGCTTACCTGGTTAAATAAAGGTTAAATAAAAAAAAATAAAAAAAAATAAAAAATAAAAAGCATGTAGACATTATCTCCCATGTCTTTTAGACTAGCATTTGGTTTTCAACAGCAGAGATTTATATAAACCTTGCTGTCTGTTTCTCCGACATTTGTAACATTGTTTCAATATTGAAACGGACGAGACAGACAGGCAAGAAGCTTTTTTCAGCCAGTCGAAATCATGGATCAGCAGCCTTTTATGGATATATACAAAGAAAGAATAGAATAGAATAGAAAAGCAGGTAAAACGAAACAAAATGCATCTAGTTTGCTGTCTTTCCAGCTACAGTTTGAAGTGATAGTGTTGCTGTGTAGCTGGCTAGCTCCTCTGAACAGTGTCCTGGCGAGAGTACACATTTTCTATGCCAGGTGCAATCGCGCATCAATAGCTCATTAAGCACATTTCCATCCACAGCTTTTTTTATTTTATTTTATTTTATTTAACCTTTATTTAACTAGTCAAGTCAGTTAAGAACAAATTCTTATTTACAATGACGGCCTACACCGGCCAAACCCGGACAACGCTGGGCCAATTGTGCGCTGCCCTATGGGACTCCACATCACGGCCGGTTGTGATACAGCCTGGAATCGAATCAGGGGGTCTGTAGTGACGCCTCAAGCACTGAGATGCAGTGCCTTAGACCGCTGCACCACTCGGGAGCCAGGTCATTATATATTGCTTTCATGCGAGTAAAAGTCATGCTGTAAAACAAAAAATCACGACAGCAGTGATGGAAACAGGAAGTTTCGGTACAATTTCATAAATGCCGACAGATAATTTGTTCATTCGACATGGTGGGATCTTTTTGTGTCGGTAAAATGTATTATGCGAGAAATGGTGGTGGAAATTCCTTTATGCGCAAATACTGATATAATAACCATCATATCGAAGTAAACACGCGATGACATGGTGTGTGGTCCTCTTCCCACTACGACTCGGGAAACCATGCATTTATTAGGCTATAGATTAAATAAATGATGATGAACCTCACAGGGTGGTGAAAATGTATGGTATGAGCTTGATCCTCCTTTCCAATAGATGTCAAGGGTCTTATTCTGGTGACATGATGATCGATGCTTGACTGCTGTTTGACAAATACAAATATCCATAATAATCTCATCATGTAGATGAACCTACCCGCAGAGCCTACCTGCACTGTATCAGCAAGCTGTTGGCTAGAGAGTACGTGCCAAGACCAGATTAGGCACATTTGCTATTTAACGCAACAGTTTGTGACAAAACTATCGGTAGAGTTGAAAATGCGATGGAAACACATTGAACATTTGATTTTTATTTGGTAGCTACAATATGTAACTTTTTGGGCGACCAGACCAAATTCACATAGAAATGTGTTATATATCTGTCATTCTCATTGAAAGCAAGTCTAAGAAGCAATAGATCTGTTCTATGTGCTCTATTTCTATGCTTCCCGTTCTTAAATTTAGTTTTTGCGTCTTTTATTTCCGGTTTTGTACACCAGCTTCAAATAGCTGAAAATACAATATTTTTGGTTATGGAGAATATACTTCACAGCAGTTTAGATTGTACAATGACTCTTTACACTATACTTGTTTGTTTTGTCACATAAACTGAAATTAGGCGAACTATTCGAATTTTAGCAACCAGGAAATGGCGGAGCAATTTCTGCATAGTGCATCTTTAAGAGAAAAATCACATTTTGTCTGCACTACATCATCACGCACTGATTTTTTTCCCCGCAACAAGTCAGTTTGGTGGAAACACACCACAAGTGGGAAAATTGCATATTATCTTTATGCATATTTTAGAATATTTGCATGAAAATCTGGTGCCAATTGGATGGAAACCTAGCTACTGTTATGGATGTATCCAAATAAATGTCACTAGAAAAAAGCTTAAACAAACGCAAATGCAGCTACTTTGCTGTTATTCTGGCTGCACTGTTTGATGCGACTATGTTAGCTGAAGTTGGCTAGGTAGCAAGCAAGGGATAAGAACATTTAGAACTAACGACTTGGTCGCATCCAAAGATATACAACAAAAAGACTTCAAAACTGGATCGCGTCTCTGGCAACCTAACCGATAGAATGAATGACCAGCTGGCTTGGTTAGCAACCCTAGATTTGTGTCAGGTCTATATCTCGTGGAAGGATGAATAAATTCATACAAATTACGTTTTTTATTAAAATATGTCAATCATTAATTGAATATGTTGGTAACCCACTGTATAAAAGTGATAATGCCCTCAAAGCCGGTGTCTGGAGGATATATTGGCATGGTTTGCCTCCAAACACTGGCCTTTCTGGCATTATCACTTAAATGGGCATCACACTTCTGATGGATTGACAGGTGAAGCAAGCGCATCCACGATGTGGGACAACCAAGCCTGGAGCTTTCTCTATGACGACCAGGTGGATGGGGAGCCTCCTTTCCTGGCCCAGGACTTCATCCACACAGTTCAGCCCGATGCTAAAATCATCGTCATGCTCAGAGACCCAGTAGAGAGGTACAGATGTGTGATCTTAATTTGACAGCATCTGCAGTACATTATCATGTGGATTATAATTAATGGACAGTTTTGTAGGGGTTGAACATAATTTGTTAGTGCAAATCAAGTCTGAAATGTTAAAGTGGAAATTACAAACCTTAGAAGCATTTTTAAACATTGAATACACTATTATCACACAACAGCGTGATCAAGGAAAATTCTCACACAACAGGGTGATCAAATTAATCTGTAGGACTCAATAATTGTTTGGCTAGCTGTAAAATAGTTTTCACTCTAGGAATGTCTGTGCATTTGGTAAATGTATCTGATGAAAGTATGATTTCTGGTTGGCGTCTCCCTTTGCTTTAGGTTGTATTCAGACTACCTGTACTTCAACATGGCTAACAAGTCAGTGGAGGACTTTGACCAGAGGGTCTCAGAATCCTTACAGCTGTTTGAGGCTTGTTTAGCAGAGAGCTCCATGCGTTCCTGTGTCTACAATACTAGCCTCTCCAATGCCATGCCGGTGAGTGGAACATATAAATAAATAAATAATACATATGCCATTTAGCAACTTACAGTCATGCGTGCATATTTGTATTACTGGCATTGGAAATGTACAACACTTTCTTACCATAGGTATTCAAAGTAAATGCATTGGAATGCAATGGAATTGTGTCACTATCTTTGGTGGATAGTGTATTGTCTAGATGGGAAGATGAGAAAATAATGTGTAAGAGCAAGACCACATTTATTAAAAGAGCATTATCCCACTGGGCACAGAGGGCAGTTCAATGTCTAGTTTTAATTTACACTTGGTGGAGTTGTCAAATAATGTGAAATCAACCAAAAATGTCACCATGTATTTGGAGTTAGGTTAAAATGTGGGTAAAAAAAAGACTAGATCCACTTATGTTGATGACTTTTTGCAAATCCAATCAGTTTTCCACGTTGATTCAACGTAATCAAATTGTTTGGTTTTGTTGAAATGACGTGGAAACAATGTTGATTCAAACAGTTTTTGCCAAGTGGGATGTCATCGAAGTGCATACAAAGTTACAGTGGGGAAAAAAAGTATTTAGTCAGCCACCAATTGTGCAAGTTCTCCCACTTAAAAAGATGAGAGAGGCCTGTAATATTCATCATAGGTACACGTCAACTATGACAGACAAAATGAGACAAAAAAATCAAGAAAATCACATTGTAGGATTTTTTATGAATTTATTTGCAAATTATGGTGGAAAATAAGTATTTGGTCAATAACAAAAGTTTCTTAATACTTTGTTATATACCCTTTGTTGGCAATGACACAGGTCAAACGTTTTCTGTAAGTCTTCACAAGGTTTTCACACACTGTTGCTGGTATTTTGGCCCATTCCTCCATGCAGATCTCCTCTAGAGCAGTGATGTTTTGGGGCTGTCGCTGGGCAACACGGAATTTCAACTCCCTCCAAAGATTTTCTATGGGGTTGAGATCTGGAGACTGGCTAGGCCACTCCAGGACCTTGAAATGCTTCTTACGAAGCCACTCCTTCGTTGCCCGGGCGGTGTGTTTGGGATCATTGTCATGCTGAAAGACCCAGCCACGTTTCATCTTCAATGCACTTGCTGATGGAAGGAGGTTTTCACTCAAAATCTCACGATACATGGCCCCATTCATTCTTTCCTTTACACGGATCAGTCGTCCTGGTCCCTTTGCAGAAAAACAGCCCCAAAGCATGATGTTTCCACCCCCATGCTTCACAGTAGGTATGGTGTTCTTTGGATGCAACTCAGCATTCTTTGTCCTCCAAACACGACAAGTTGAGTTTTTACCAAAAAGTTATATTTTGGTTTCATCTGACCATATGACATTCTCCCAATCCTCTTCTGGATCATCCAAATGCACTTTAGCAAACTTCAGATGGGCCTGGACATGTACTGGCTTAAGCAGGGGGACACATCTGGCACTGCAGGATTTGAGTCCCTGGCGGCGTAGTGTGTTACTGATGGTAGGCTTTGTTACTTTGGTCTCAGCTCTCTGCAGGTCATTCACTAGGTCCCCCCGTGCAGTTCTGGGATTTTTGCTCACCGTTCTTGTGATCATTTTGACCCCACGGGGTGAGATCTTGCGTGGAGCCCCAGATCGAGGGAGATTATCAGTGGTCTTGTATGTCTTCCATTTCCTAATAATTGCTCCCACAGTTGATTTCTTCAAACCAAGCTGCTTACCTATTGCAGGTTCAGTCTTCCCAGCCTGGTGCAGGTCTACAATTTTGTTTCTGGTGTCCTTTGACAGCTCTTTGGTCTTGGCCATAGTGGAGTTTGGAGTGTGACTGTTTGAGGTTGTGGACAGGTGTCTTTTATACTGATAACAAGTTCAAACAGGTGCCATTAATACAGGTAACGAGTGGAGGACAGAGGAGCCTCTTAAAGAATAAGTTACAGGTCTGTGAGAGCCAGAAATCTTGCTTGTTTGTAGGTGACCAAATACTTATTTTCCAACATCATTTGCAAATAAATTCATTAAAAATCCTACAATGTGATTTTCTGGATTTTTTTTCCTCAATTTGTCTGTCATAGGTGACGTGTACCTATGATGAAAATTACAGGCCTCTCTCATCTTTTTAAGTGGGAGAACTTGCACAATTGGTGGCTGAAAAAATTATACAGCTGCACCATCGAGAGCATCCTGACTGGTTGCATCACCGCCTGGTATGGCAACTGCTTGGCCTCCGACCGCAAGGCACTACAGAGGGTAGTGCGTACGGCCCAGTACATCACTGGGGCCAAGCTTCCTGCCATCCAGGACCTCTATACCAGGCGGTGTCAGAGGAAGGTCCTCAAAATTGTCAAAGACTCCAGCCACCCTAGTCATAGACTGTTCTCTCTGCTACCGCACGGCAAGCGGTACCGGAGTGCCAAGTCTAGGTCCAAAAGACTTCTCAACAGCTTCTACCCCCAAGCCATAAGACTCCTGAACAGCTAATCATGGCTACCCGGACTATTTGCACTGCCCCCCCACCCCATCCTTTTTTCGCTGCTGCTACTCTGTTAATTATTTATGCATAGTCACTTTAACTCTACCCACATGTACATATTACCTCAACTACCTCAACTAGCCGGTGCCCCCGCACATTGACTCTGCAACGGTACACCCCCTGTATATATAGCCTCCCTACTGTCACTTTATTTTACTTCTGCTCTTTTTTTTCTCAACACTTTTTTTGTTGTTGTTTTATTTTTAATAAATGCACTGTTGGTTAAGGGCTGTAAGTAAGCATTTCACTGTAATGTCTGCACCTGTTGTATTCGGCGCATGTGACCAATAAAATTTGATTTGATTTGATTTGACTAAATACTTTTTTCCCACACTGTATTCAGAGATGGCTTTGTCTATGCCAAATTGTGATACATTTTCCAGGCCTTAGCTAGATTGATTCCATGCCAAATTGTGATCCATAACTCAGGCCTTTATTTTCCATGTCTAATAGGATTTGTTATTCAAATCACGGCCACTTCCTTGAGGCTGGTGAAAATGTGTTGTGACATGCCACTGACTTGATAATGGATTAAATTAGTCAAGAACCGTGAAGTTTCCTTTCAGAACTGATTGAACTGAGATGCACTTACTGGAAATGATTTAGGAAGCAGTCTCTAGAAATATTGTCATTTATTTTCAGAAAATACATTCTCTTGCAGTTTTAACTATTTTACTACATTGACATTGGCTCGGTTTTATACAGGTATGAATGCTTTGTTTAGTTATTATGATCCCCATTAGCTGTTTCACATGCAGCAGTTACTCTTCCTTGGGTCCACAAGCTTTAATGCTTTAAACGTTTCCTTACTGGACAGAGTACAGTAATGCTAAGTAAAGGCTTGCCAACTGCCCTCTGTAAATTATAAACCGTCCAGATGCTGTAATGTACATAGCAGCATTTCCATGGGGTTGAGCTGAGCTAGCTCTGTCTGTACCCTCGTCACATAGTAGCATACCAGGTTGGCTGCAGCTGTCACAGCCTGGGGCACAGCTAGTTTACATAGGAAAAGCACAAATCACGATACCCACAGCCAGAAATAAACACTACTGTTCACACTGTTCTACATACATCTCAGCCTGATTTGTGGTAGTAATGTTATTGTATTGGTGCCGACATGGTGCTTAGAGGAGTACCTTTGGAGATCCGTGTGTACCTATTAAGGTAAATAAATATTAACAAAGTATAAGTTCTTTGACATACAGCAGCGTCATGGATGTCGACCTAAAGTAGCTCCCTGTTTACATTTGACATCTGAATCCATGCTGTTGAGCTTATGATTGTTTAAAAAATATTTCCACCTAGCTCGTTGTCAAGATGTAGTTCATCTCAGATGGCGCCTTCTTTCTCTCTGCTGCATCTACAGAAGTATAATTACTTTTGTCGGTTGGTCTCTAGCACTCTCTGCAGGTAAGCTTGTGTACTGGTAACAGGAGTCATGCTGTAACTCTTTATCGGCAATATTCCTATAGCATGTAGCTTGTTCTCCACCTTAACAATGAAGCCTTGGTAGAAGAGTTACGTAAATATAATGTAAGTCTAACGTTCAGTGTTTGTTGTGGTTCTCTCCAGGTCAGACTGAACCTGGGACTATATATTGTCTTCCTGCTGGACTGGTTGACTGTCTTCCACAGGGATCAGATCCTAGTTCTGCAGTTAGAAGACTACGCTGCCAATCTGAGACTCACCATACATAAAGTCTTTGACTTCCTAAACGTGGGTACGTTCTGGAAAAACACAGTTATCAGATAGCTTGAATTCTACATCAACATCTTAGGTGTGTTCAGAGCTAGGACACAATATTGTTGATGCATGTACATGTCTGCTTCTTCCTCTGTGTGCATTTCAACATCTGGGGCCTCATTTATCAAAGGTGCGTGTGCAAAGAAAAGACTCTAAACCTTGCGTGCTCCAGTTTTCCCGCAAAGTTTACTAGGTATTAATGTTTAACTTGATGGGAAAGTGTGCGCATCTCCACACAAATCTCAAATTATGCATGCGCACAACTTCTAGAAGGTTGATCAACTGTATTACAAGCAAATAAGCTTTATTGTTCGTTTGGGGGAAATGGGGAGGTGTTTGATTCTTGAGAATTATAATAATAGTAGGCTAATAAAAACATTAAAGCATAGGCCTAATGATAAAACAGATGCATTTGCCGTTGGGAAGGAGATCACATAGCAGCATGTCGTCTAATATGTTTATTTTACTTTTATTATATAGGCCTGAATCATAATCATATTGCAGGACAGGTCTCTCCCTACTGGGCAAAAACTGGTGAATCAACGTTGTTTCCACATAATTTCAACCAAAACATTCAATGTGATGACATTGAATCAACGTGGAAAACTGATTGAATTTGAAAAAAGTCATCAACGTAAGGGAATTTCGTATTTTTTCACCCAACTTTTAACCTAAATCCAATAACACATTAGTTGACAACTCAACCAAATGTAAATCAAAACTAGACGTTGAACTGGTGTTTGTGCCCAGTGGGTCCTTTTCTGACATAACTGGTTTAAATTATTCATGCTACACAACCAATAGTAAGCTACCATTTATCAATCACTCATTCCATAGCCAAGCATGCTCGAAAGTAAATAGACCGGTAGCCTTGACAGTATGTGAATAGTACAGTATTGCTGTGCGATAGGATTAGGAGCGTGACATCATAGCCTATTTAATTTCAGAGCCTATACCAAGGCAGGAGACAGAAACACAATAATATATTGATAAACAAAATATTGAACAACAATTTGTCTTTTGCATAGGGCCTTTATCTGAGCAGACCGAGGCAGCGCTCACCAAGAGGCCCATGTCCAACACACGGAGGGCAGCAGACAGGAGCCTGGGCCCCATGCTGCCCAGCACCAGGGACCTCCTCAGGGAGTTCCACCAGCCATTCAACCACAAACTGGCCACAGTCCTGGACAACAAAGCCTTCCACTGGACAGAGACATGAGGAATGTCTCCATCAGAGATGGATACAGTCCTGAGGAGTAAGTCCCCCATGGTCCTATGAGTCATATGAGATGAACTGATGATTAATGATTAATTGACAAGTTGAATCAGGTGTGCTTGTCCAGGGCTACAACAAACGTGCAGTTGGGGGTACTCGAGGACTGGAGTTGGGAAACACTGCTGTATGCCACTTGCAGTCATTGTGAAATAATTCTGTAAGAAACAATATTGGAGCAAACAGCACAATTGATTTTATCAGATGATGTTGCCTTCAATTAATCTTTAAAAACAAACATGAAACACCCTGTTTCTACAGCAATACAATGTTCATTTTAACTACATTAAATTAATTACATATTAAAGACGTGGACAAATGGTCATAAGCTGATTTTGTTAATATGAAATGTGTGTTTGAGCGTAGATGCCATTCTATACTGCCCTAGACACACATTGGTACACGTCCTCACACCAGAGGGCAGCAGAACCACAGAGACTCAGTACAGAATTGATAATTTCTCAACAACATTTAAGCCTATCTTCTTACCAAAGACAGGCCTATTTGTTTCTAACTGGTATTTTCTTTGTTTTTACACACTCTGTGGAGAGTAGAAATGTCATGTCAGACTATTGAGACTGAGGTCAGAGGAGCATTTTTACATTTTAGTCATTTAGCAGACACTCTTATCCAGAGCGACTTACAGTGCATACATAATTTTTTTTTTCTCCATACCCCCTGTGGGAAACAAACCCACAACCCTGGCGTTGCAAACACCATGCTCTATCAACTGAGCTACATCCCTGCCGGCCATTCCCTCCCCTACCCTGGGCCAATTGCGTGCCGCCCCATGGGTCTCCCGGTCGCGGCCGGCTACGACAGAGCCTGGATTCGAACCAGGATCTCTAGTGGCACAGCTAGCACTGTGCTGCAGTGCCTTAAACCACTGCGCCACTCGGGAGACTAGAGATGGTCTTGTTATGCTGCTGGAAATGGGAGAAGAAAATATCCAAGCCAGCACATTATGGTCTGGGTAGGCACAATGGTGTAAAAAGGTTATTAGTGTGAATTAATGTGAGTAGGAAAACTGAAGAATTCTTACATATGCCTTCCGGTTCTGGTCTCTCAACAAGGAGTACTTTTGAATGAGCACTGTGCACACATCCATGTATTGCCGGGTAGTGGGGTACCTAAAGCGAACGAGAAACATACAACATTACATTTAGACTAACAATTATGTTTGTAATACAAATTACATTGATTGATGGCGTTGATTATCATCATGTAAAAGTTGAGTATGTGCTATGCTTTCAGCTGCAGTGATTATGACAACAGTATGGAGGAGAGTATGGAGGACAGAGACAGGAGAAGGGCTCAGGGTGACGTGCACACACACACACAAGCATTATGATTCATAATTGAGGAACTTATATCAATAACATTAAGCTAAGATCAGTATACTACATAACTATACTCACCAAGTGTAGGTACACATGAAGTCAAACAACACCTGCACAATCTGAGACCTCCACTTCGAGCACACAGTAGGGCAATGGAGATCATCCTTTTTCCCCCCAAGTTTTTCTTTTAATACGGCTGGAAATTCTGGAAGTCTAAACACAGACTCTTTGGCTGATTGATGTGTCCTGTTGCTGGCCTGTTGATATGTCATGTTGAAGGCCAATTGGTGTGCCATTTTGCTGGACAGATGCTGGGTCATTTTACTGGGTTTGCTGCAGCTGTGAAATTACAATAATACAGTTTCTTTGTGCTTTCAGGCAAAAAAACTAACAAAAAAGCAGAGAATTGGAATAGGATCAATGTGATAGAATCAATGATGCAGATAAGTCATACTTACCTATTTACAGCTTTTAGATTCTCCATTAACTTTGTGAATTTGATTCAAACTTAGCTCCTCCATTCTTTGGTCCAATGTCATCAATGTCTCTCCATCAAAATAAGAACATGTCAGTTTTCTGGTCAGTGCATATCAGAATAGGAAACGCATATGAAAATGTGAAAACAAAAGTGTGTTGTGCTTAAGTTAAAAAATCAATGAATTTTCACTAACTGCAATCCAGTGGCGGAGTGGAATGGACACTCTTCCCTTTGGGACCCTGTATCCATCTATCCCATGGAAATCGATCTCCTCACCAGGCCTTATAGCAATCTATTGTTGACTGTGTTGAACCATGTATGCGTGGTGATGGCTGTTGAAACTGGCTGCTAGTACTTTACCACACAAGCACTAAGCACCAAGGAAACGGTATATTCCACACACTTCCATGAACACAGGGATCTCTTCTGAATGACCAGTGTCGATGACCAGATAGTTTCCTACATTGTATTGCGTGTTGTTCACCGCAATGGACTTTGTCTTGGTGACACATTTTCCTCTGATAGCTTCTCCGAATCTGGCACTTAATACTGCACGGGCAGAGAAGTGCATGCAGTGAGACATCTCTTGTGTCCGCACAGTGTGTTGTTGTGCTGCCAGGGCAGTAGTTGTTGGTTTGCTCCCATCATTGTCTGAGCTGATGTCTTTTTGCCAGGGTCTTCGTTATATTTTTGAAGTTTCCCACAACTGTTGAGAGCCTCCTGGAATATTGGTGTTTCACTTCAAATTGCATGGTGGACTGGTGGATCAAAGGTCCATAGGCAAGTAGCAGGCTAGGGTAGTGGACGAGGTAGTGCATCTTTGGAATTCTCTTCCCTGGAAAAAGCTCCTGGAAGAGAGCTTGAAATTCAGTGTTTTCTTCTGCCAGGTATGGGATCCAGAATCTTCTTAAAACTGGAGCCAAGATTATGTCGGATATCTCTCGAAGCAGGAGGTAGAGATCCCAAGCACTGACACTTTGTATTTGACTACCAATCATGTGGGGGAGTAAACGGAAAAGTGTAAATTTTTCTGATGGCCATACTTCCTTAGGACTCTCTCGGATAGTGGCACAGGTTTAGAAGACATCTCGTTTACCATAAAAGTTCTCAATCTCATAGTTAATCTGGTCAAGAGTAATTTGCCTCTCTTGAACCAGTTTTTGCAGCACTAGTCTGAGCACTCTGGGTATGATGCCCTCATGAAGGTCATGCATGACGTCTGGTGGAAACAGATATGTCATTGGAGATGATTCAACTGAGAGAAGCAACAGGCTTTTTTGATGCCATACATCGATGCATTGTCTGGATTTCCTTCCACAGCCTGCAGATGGTACTTGCAGTTGCCTGGGTCACGCATGGTGAATTTCCAATTCCTGGATGTCACGTACCAAAGGCTAGAACACTTCTTTGTAAGTGGTGACTTGTTTTTGACTGAGGCGGTGATGAACCAGTGTGGAGAGGTATATATTTTGGAGTTGTGAAGTATCCTTGTGGTCAAGATTTCCTAATCTAAAGTAGGTCAATTTGTGCTTGCCTTTTTTAGAACCCAGTGGATTGACAACTTGGGATGTATTGAAATGACCTTGTTTAATAACCTTCTTTGTTGCTCAAGGGTACTTAAATTGGCCTGACCATGCCCAATTATTTCACACAGTAATGCTCCAGCATCCACTCAGAGCGTATGCATCTAATACATTCCTCAAATACTGCAGAGTTGTTAAGCAAGTCCCTGAGATCGTCATCTTCATCCATTTATTTGCTTATTTGTAAGGTGAAACCTGAGGGCATCACTGTAGTGTGTCATAAATGCATCAAAAATGATTCTGAGGTCCTCAACAATGCTATTCTATACCGTAGCTGTTCTTCCCTGATTTTCAAAATAAAAATACAGATATTCTGTTTGAGACCCTCAATTAGCTGCTTAGTGTTGATCTCTGTGGCTTGAACATGTTCAGCCTTTGGCAGACTCTCTACATCGCTCACGTCATCTTCAATGGGCTCAGTCCCAGTCTCAAATTAATCATAAGGGCAATTCTCATCAAAGTTGGTGCTTAAAGCTCTGTGGTTTCAGTAGATGTGTGACCAATAGGTGCTGAAACGTCTATTTGTTTTCCGACACCCATTAAGTCCACAGGTAGTTAAAACATGTGGTTTATGCTGGTGATAGAGGCCAATACAGGTATGTGTCAGTAGTCTGGACACTGAGTACCAATGATCTCCATGATGCCATCCCATCTTTCAAGGTTCACAATCTGTCTGAAGAATGGCAACTCTATTAAATTGTCCACTTTGCAACAAACATACTTTCTCAGCCACTTGCAGACTTCATCAAGTGACCAGTCTTCCACAGCCACACTCAAATTCAAATTGACACTAAAAGCAAAAGTGACATTTATTAGTGTTGAGGCTAAAACAAAACCTATACCACTCTTTCCAGACAACCACCTGTCCTCCTAATTTGTATTTATGGTTGTTCTATAACGAAGCAGAGCTTGTCAGGAAAGGTGAAGCTGTCTCTCTCTTATTTATCTGACGCCATATTTTTTTGTATGGGACATTATGGGATTCTGCAGTCCCATATTTAAGTGTTGACTCAGATAATATGGGGCAATATGGGGCATCCAAATGGGGCATTAAGTTCTTCTTCCATGTCAACCCAAATTGGCCTATTAGAGTTCTCAATAAAGAGAGCCTATTTGGGCAGTTATAAAGACTTCTTGATATAATTACATGTTAGGGAGCTTTAATCCTCCCTTCTAAGTCTTTGCCTGTAATCTAGCTAGGTTAATCCCTGCCCTTTTAATAGTCCAAATAAACTGAGTAATACTTTTGTCTGTTGTGTTAAAGGTGTAGGTATGGGCAGTGGAAACATGCTGATGACGTAATTCAGTTTAGGAGCTTTAACCATCTTTATAACATGTGGCCTACCCCACAATGAGATTTGTAGCTTATCCCAGTTCTTAAACTGGAGTTGAATTTTGTTCAAACATACAGAATGGAAAATAAACATTTCCCTTCCCCTAAGAAACAACTTCTCTTCTCACATACATAAAGAAGATAAAATGACACCAGACATTCACCATTTATTTAGCATTGGAAAAGACAAAGGAATTACACAGAATATA